AACTGACAATTTGGAAAAAAAGAATTAAAGCTAAAGTAAAATCTTGATTAAGCAAAGACTGAAAATCAAAAAGCAAAATAATAAAGAACAGAACACACTACAGATAAATATCTACTGATTTTATATAATTGCAGAAGAGTTCCCATTCAAAATAGCAACCAAAAGTATACTTATACAAACAAATCTATGAAAAAATATAATACCCACATAAAAAAAAATTATATTTTTTCTTAGAGGAAAAAAAAATCTCTAAGCATAGAAGCAATGGAAGTTAAAATAAGACCTGACTAGATGAAAAACAAAAAGCTTTAGTATGTCCAAAAAAGCAAACCAAATTGATCAATAGACAAACTTGGGGAAGTATTAATAACAAATGCCAGTTAAGTAGCGTCTTTAATATATAGAGTATAAACACATGGGAACACCATCAGAATGCATTATTAGGTGAATAAGAAAAATATGAAATGTATATAGAATACACAATCTTTTCTGTAAAGGGGAGTTAAGACCTACTTTCGTATTTGTTTTTATTTGCAAATAACAAAACAAAACAGTGGGGAAAACACACAAGAAACTAAAAATGAGGAGAGAGGAACAGGACGACATAAGGATGGAGAGAAAACAAAATTTCAAGATAAATGAGTGAAACTGTTAGAAATTGGCCTATTGTTCTAAGTTTTGACCCATGTAAATAAATTTTTAAAAAATAAACAAAAACCTCATCAAATTAATAAGAAAATCTATCCATGTTTCCTTTGGGTACTTTAGTAGGGTGAACATTGGACACCCAAAGATAACACATCCTAATACATAGAATCTGTGAATGTTATCCTATATCAGCAATTTTTTTCTTTTTTTTTAAATATTTTTATTGATTTCAGAGAGGAAGGGAGAGGAGGAGAGAGACAGAAACATCAATGAGGAGAGAGAATCACTGATCAGCTGTCTCTTGCATGTCTCCTACTGGGGATCGAGCCCACAAGCCGGGCATGTACGCTTGACCGGAATCTAACCCGGGACCCTTCAGTCTGCAGGTTGACGCTCTATCTACTCAGCCAAACCAGCTAGGGCTATATCAGCAATTTTCAACCAATGTGCTCCAAGAGTACACTAGTGTGCAGCAAGAATTTTTAAAACATATATACCTGACTATTTAGTCAGGGGGACTGGCCGGCCTCTTTTCCCTTAGATTGTCAAGTAAAAAAATGACAAAAGCAAACACAACAACAGCTGTCTAGAGTGAATGAATCAAAATTATACCCTTTTTTATTTTTTGTCAGATCAGCAAAATATATATATATATTTTTTGGTGTGCTGCAGAATTTTAGTAATTAGTTTATATGTGCCATAAGATGAAAAAGTTTGAAAATCACTGCCTTATTATGGTAAAATGTTTACAGATGTATTAAAATAAGGATCGTGAAAGGAGGAGATCATCCTGAGTTACCTGGGTGGGCCATAAATTACATCACAAGTGTTTTTATGAGAGAGGCAGAGGGAAATTAGATACACACAGAGAGGAGAGCTAATGTGACCACAGAGGCAGAGATGGGAATGAGGTGGCCACAATCAAGAAATGCCATCAAGGAAAGGCAAGAACTGGACTCTTCCCTGGAGGCTCTGGAAGGAGCAGACAACTGCTGACACCTTGAATTGATGTGATACTGATTCTGGACTTCTGGTCTCCAAAACTGTGAGAGACTGCTATTTTATGCCACCTAGTTGTAGCAATTTGTTATAGTAGCTATAGGAAACAGGTAGCGAAGGATATCAACAGAAAATTCTGTCTACTGAGGAAAACATGCTCAACAAAAATGAAAAATTCTTGAGAGAAACCAAGATGGCGGCATAGGTAAACACCAGAAATTGCTGCCTCGCACAACAACTTCAAAAATAAACTAAAAGACAAAAGGGACATCATCCAGAATCACAGGAAGGCTGGCTGAGTGGAAATTCTACAACTAGAAGGAAAAAGAAGAGCACACTGAGATTCAGAGGAAGTGCAGAAGTAAAGTGCAGAGGTACGGAGGCGCACGCAGAAAGGGCTGGCAACTGAGGACACGGCTGATTGGCGGTTGTCTTTCTCAATCGGGAGGGAGTCTCAAGCTCCCGACAGCTCTGAACTCCAGTTTCGGGCGAGTCTCTGGGGACCCAGACTCATACAGGGAGAAACTAGACTGTCTGGCATCAGCCGGAACTCGAGGGCAGCTTTCTCTCAGAGGTGCTTGCTGCGATTACCAGGACACTGAGAGTTGGGGCCTCTTAGGGTAGGGCTGAGGAGCAGCCATAGCTGTTTGCTCCATCCTGTTGATTCCCTGAAACTCCGCCTAGCTCCTGCTAGGCAGCCTCAGACAGAGGCTAAATTAGCACATCCTTAGAGATCCAAGAGCCAGTGTATCCAGTGGTCAGAGTGGGACCATCCAGATTACAACTCCTCAGATCCATAAGGGACACACTCGGGGGAGACTCAGTGAGCACCAAAGCCCCACTGAAGCAAGTCTTGCCCCATAAGGGTGTCTCCAGCACAGAAGTTCTCCCACTGTAGACACAGGTGATTCTCACAGCCAATTGGCCTGGAGGCCAATTCCTCCCAGTGACACCAACAACAATCAAGGCTTAACTTACAACAAGACTGTGCACAAAGCTGACAAAGGGGTGCACCAAGAGTGTCCACCTCAGGTAATTGGGGAGGCTGAGCCACTGGGCCCTATAGGACACCTAGCACACAAAGCCACTCTACCAACACA